ATTTATTTATTTGGGGGGGGGGGTGGGGTCGGAACCTGTTACCAGACAACAGCAGCTGGTCATCAATGCTGGACATTAGGTCTGTACCAATTGAAGGACATCAGAATTATTGACACAGAATGAAAACTAAACAAATTCTAATCTACCTGTAATTTTTTTCTGTACAGCTTAGTTCATCTACCACATGTCAATTCTTAAGTTTGTAGTTCACTTACATTGTTTACAATGGATAACACAGCATGTGCATATTATAGCACCAGCTAGCTACAAATATTACCATCCCCAGATATAGTATCTTTACTTTACAACATAAGTATATAAGAAAAATCAAAAACTGAAGATTGGACATTTTAAAACAAAAATTGGCACAGTCTCTATTATTACCAACTCTCTCCCCTCCACCCCCAGCCCCAACTTCAAAAAATCATTACAGGTGTCATATGTAGCCCTCTATGGTGTTAAAATGATGTTCATTATTGTCAATGACAGTGCCCAGTCAGTGTATCAACGTCCACATTGTAACTTCAAAGATAAGCTCTGTGTCATTTCTACCTGACCAACTTTCATAGTCTCAAGTCAGGAACTAAGGCTTTTAACCTAAAAATAAAACATCAGGCGACTGAGTGGGCATGGCACCTGCTCACCTGATGTGTGTTAATTAATTACGGCAGATCTGAAATGCACTTGGCTGATTTAATAAATAGCAGACTGTTTATGCAGCAGGCTTTAAAACGTAACTGACCTATTTCTAGCACAATTCCACTGGGGAGGGGGGGGGGGGGGTGTCAGCTTTCTTTTCTTTTTTTTTTTTTTTAATGAAAACCAGCTCCTATCATTCACATGCTGTGTAATTGTGAGGATGATATTAATAGTAATAGTAAGATGCATTTTGTGATAAATAAGCAATTCACTGCAGCTTACTCTTTTGGGACAACCATTACAGGAATGAAAAGAGGAAATTAAACCTTGCTTATCTCACCCAGGAGTGGAATAGTCCATGCTCTCTAGGTGATGACTAACTAGAATACTTTCACCTGGGATATGGTGTTATTACAGTGTCTACACGCCAACAAAGATGTCAAATGTGGGTTAATTTGCTACATAACAGGCAAATTAGCTTGAAGCCAATCCAACTTTAAATAAGATATATGCTGGTGGCTAAAACACTTTCTGGATAGAAGAAGAATATAAATAGTCTGCGGTCTTTTACAAGTGAAAAAAATATGATAGGCTTCAATCAACACTCCTAGCTAGGTGCTTATGAATATTTCAAACTTACACAGAAATACCAGACAGATAGCATTTAACCTACATAAAAAAAGAGGTCAATATCTCTCCACTGGGAAGCATTCATTCTTTAAAGTCACCTTCCTAGTGCACTGTCTTATAGATCTATCATACTGAATCACACTGTACTAGAAGCAGACATCTACATGATAATTGCTGCTTCATGCATGTAAAATATGCTGTATAACAGCTTACAATAGGTTGATTTGGCCTTGGAAATTAATATTTCAACTTTTCGTTATATTTCATTAGATTTTAAAATTGTGCAAAAAAGCTACACTGAGGATTTACCCAGCCTAAGAAAGGGCCATTTATTTTCCAGGTGGGGGACCTCCCTACCTTTACAGGTACACTGATAAGAAGGTCCCCCCACAGAT